TTCAATCAAATTAATTCTTCCTCTTTTTTTTATGGGTTAGTCTAACATCAAAATAAACAACTTGCATTCGTAACGTAAGACACATTTTTTTAACTGCATAAATAATCAGTAGTATACAATGTTATTGGAAATTTCAATCCATTACAAGTTACAACCATTAACTTTCAATCAGGTAGTTCAAAACAATATGTGTCATGTAACACTGCCGCCTTTAAAAAAAGATGTGTTTCAAAATACATTGTACATCTCTGTGAGGTTCAGATAATGGCAGGATGGATGCAGATAAAAGACAGCATGCAATTCATGTAGAGCATGTTGATCAGAGCTTTAGAGCGCCTCGTTGTCAGCAATGAGTGCACGCACGTAAAGGAAAGAAGGCGAAAAGAGCTAGGTTAGAAAAAAAAAACTCAGTTCGACTTGGCAGCAAGAATGTGGACAGGGACTTTGTGCTGGTGTGCACGTTACAGTGTCTCGTTGTCACAGCGTAGAAAAGCCCCACAAGGACCAGCCACGGGAGGCTTGAAACTGACTTTTCTTTCTCATTCAAATTTTACAGATTCGATCATGGTAATTCTCACCTTGCGGGATTGGGGCAGCAACGCGTCCCTTTGGAACAGGGGCGGCCTTGGGGGGCGACTGGGGAAGGATGGTCTCTCTTCGGTGCTTCATTTTCTCCTGGTTAATTCTCCAAGAGGACGACGACGTCAGGACCTCAAACATTGCAGGTCTGTGGATGTGTGAGCGCGCATATCTTACTTGAGTGTCTGAAGCCTCGATTTCTTTCCATATTTGTTATCTCCGAGGGCACTGTCTATATCTGCATGAACCAATTCAGCCTGTGTGAGGGACAGAGAGAGACAATCAGTCAAATGTTATGAGATGAACCGATATGTGCAGAAGTTTAAAGTTTCATTTTTAAGAAATACAATAAGAATCTTTGTCTTTAGCAAGACAATATTTACACTGTCACACTCATTAATTACTAAATCTGATGTGAACGACCACTGTGCAGGTACACACAATGCCGAGCCGTCAACAGATACTTTTGAGTCCTTGCACAAAAGTGCAAAGCCGCCAACAGCCTCGTGAAATGTGACCTCAAACTGCGGCGCCGGTCCTTTGGATTTATGAATGACACGAAGCCTTACCGTAAGTGGACCAGTTGTGTGGACAGACAATAAAAGATACAAAGTGAGTCACGCGCGTCAACACCCACCTCCACCTCGTCACAGTGAAAGAAGTGGATGTCCGGCCGGTGCTGCTCATTGTCCTGACACACAAGCAGCAGCACGGACGGGTAACGCGTCTGATTTAGCACGGCCTGAGACAGATGGATTGTGGGTAGGGGGAAGTTCTCCAGCTCCTCCTGCAGAGAGAGAATAGCAGATTTCTCATAAGAAGTGGACATCGCATGTTAGTGTGGACATTTTCATGACTTTCTTAAGTGCACTTTATGAAACCGTACAACAAATCTGCAGAGGGAGCGGTACAGTACCTGGGTGTCACAGTCCAGCAGCCTGACTGCCTTATCAGTGACTTGCAGGAGCATTTCCTGAGTCCAAATCTTGTCTTTTGAATCGAGAAGGGCAAGTTTTTTGATGGCGTCGTCCACAGTGGCGATGGACTCAGTCTTGTCCATGATGAAGGTGGACAGATGCTAACCGAGGTCGAGACAGAAGGTGACACAGGCATCGCAGAACTTAAAGTACAGAAAAGTCTAAGAATGCTGAAGGAAGATTTTTTTCTCGATCAATATAACACTGCAACATGGAGTTAGTTCTAACTAACTACTAACTAGAGCACTACACCACTATCATCGTCTGTACTGCATAATGGAATTCACTTTGTCTGTTTTAATGCGCACTCATTGAAATAGAGTACTTGGGAAATACATTCTTGAACCACAGGAAAGTTGAAGGACTTCTTCCAATTCTAAAGTACCATATAAACACAAAGAGTGCTTTTCTAAAAGGAGATGAAAGTCCAATTTCAAAATAATCAATCGTTTGCCAACCATTGTGTACACAGTCAAATACTTTTTGTTGAACGTGTTCAGACGGCGGCAATGAATTGTTTAACCCTTTCATGCACCCTGTAACCTGATGACA